AAGCACTTCTCAAACAACAAACCTGGACACTTGTACAAAAACCGGCCAACAAACCGGTTATTGGATGCAAATGGACTTACAAAATCAAGCAACTTCCAAATGGCCAAATCGATAGATACAAGGCGCGACTCGTTGCACTGGGATATGCTCAAATCTTCGGTCAGAATTACAACGAGACTTTTAGTCCCGTAGCAAAAATGGTAACAATACGCTTACTCTTAAATCTTGCAATCAACCATAATTGGCCCATGCTACAGCTAGACGTCTCCAATGCGTTTCTACACGGCGACCTCCAAGACGATATATACATGAGTCAACCTCCAGGCTTCGAGGATCCTCTCCGCCCGGATGCCGTTTGTAAGCTACACAAGTCTCTCTACGGTCTCAAACAGGCGCCCCGTCAATGGTTTCAGAAACTCACAATGGTACTTCAATCAAACGGGTTCAGGTGTAGTCGTTCCGATCCATCTCTGTTTATTTTTGCAAAACTTCACATCCGAATTTACTTCTTAATCTATGTTGACGATATCATTATGACAGGAAACGATCAACAACACATTCAAATGATCCTCGCCGAACTCAGATCCGCGTTTGCCCTTAAACAATTAGGAGAAATTTCTCTTTTTCTCGGCATTCAAGTGACTCGATCTAACAAAGGATTCTTTTTATCACAGGCACATTATGCTCAGAAATTACTTGAGGAAGCTGGTCTCTCAAATTGCAAACCAGCGCCTACACCTATAGCTCCAACATCCAAACATCAACTGCCAAACACCAAACCATTTCACGATGCATTTCTCTACCGACGGCTATCAGGTGCTCTTCAATACCTTTCCATCACACGACCTGACATTGCTTTTGCAGTTAACCAGGTGTGTCAACAAATGCATTCTCCGACCGACCGAGACTTTCAACAACTGAAACGCATACTTCGGTATGTTAAAGGAACTGTTTCCTATGGTCTACCGATCATAGCCGGCGACACCAACCTTCGCACATTCGCTGATGCAGACTGGGCCTCGGACAACACAGATCGCAAGTCCATATCCGGATTCTGTACATTCATGGGACCAAACTTGATCTCTTGGTCGGTAAAGAAGCAAATTACAGTAGCAAAATCTTCGACTGAAGCTGAGTATCGAGCCTTATCGGCAGCTACCTCAGACGTTCTTTGGCTACGACGTCTCGCCGACGAACTTCAGTTACCACAGAAGACACCGACCACGATCCTATGTGACAACATCTCTGCAATTGCAATAGCGAAGAATCCGGTGTTTCATGCCCGCACGAAGCACATCGAGATTGATTTTCAATTCATACGTCACCACATCCTCAACAATAACATCTCCATACAACACATCTCGTCACAGGAGCAAATCGCAGGCATCTTAACTAAGCCGTTCGCGGTTTCTCGGTTTGAATATTTATGTAACAAAATATCCATTCAATCACAGAATGCATAATTTGAGGGAGAATATAAGCATAAGCAGTCATGTGTTTTGTCCCACATACACTGTTCTGTCTTTTCCTTCTCACTGTTACTTATACATATAGATATCCTGTAATGTACTTTGATACACAATAATAATAATTTCACTCTTCCGTTTATTTCCTCTGTTCGTTCAAGCCTTTCTTCCCGTCTCTTCACTCTCACAAGGCTAACCTAACTTAAAAAATATGAAGAATTTCACACATAACACTTAAAATTCAAATATTTACAAAAGTAACAGCTATGTTGTTTTTTGTGAATTGTTCAATTAAATTATTTACATGTGTCATGATTAAATTGCCAGAAATTTGACAAAAGAAAAATTTGTAAGCAAACACTTTGTTGTGAATTTTAATATTGGAAAAAAGAAAAAAGAAAAAAAGAGTGTTACTTTTGTAAATGATAAATTTTTGTGTATGTAATTAAAAAAAGTTTAACCCATCCGGGCCCAATTTCGGGCCAGGGTCAACTTGGGCAGGCAAGGGGCTTCTTCTACCCAATCAACCAGCGCGTTGATCTCGTAATTTATGAACAAAAATACATTAGAGAAGGAGGAGGAGGAGGAGAGATCGGGATTAGGGTTAAAGTCTCTAGCTTTTGTATCCGTGTCGATGGGGAGGGAGATGGACGCAGAGGAAGAAGGTCCTATGAGCTCTCACCAGAGCAAGCCGGGCATCCTCATCGTTGGCTGCCCCAACATCGGCAAGAGAACACTCCTCTCTAGTAAATTTTTAACTTTCTTCCATTTTCTCAGTGTTAGGCGAACTTAGATTTGGATCTGTATTATTCTGATAATTTTGACATTTGGCTACAGAAGCAGATAACAACCGATCAAAATGAACTTTTTGTACCTTTTCATTTTTATCAATATTCAGTGTCATATTTTCATTATGGGTCTTTATTCAGCAAAGGAGCTATATATAGGCAATGAAAACTAGAACTTGATCCAAAATAGTTGGAGAAATAACGAATATGCGGAAGCACTAAGACGAGTCAAGAAGGATAAGTGTTAGGATCATTTAGTTACAGCTAGTTGGTCTTTGATGAGCATGATAGAGGAGTCGAGCATGATGAAGAAGCTAGAAGGGCGTTTTAACTGTGAGTAGCCAGCACAGCAGCGAAGAGAATACAAAGGGCAGAGGAGTTCAAGGGAAAGGAGCAATAGACAGAGGACCCTATGTCAAAATCCGAACACCTCTCCCCTAGGATTTATGAAATCCCATGAAAGCCCAAATTGGGGAAGGAAAAAAATGAGATTTAACCAAGAAGTAGGGTTTTCATACCCTAGAAACTGTTTGGTAAGATTTACCCTAAGGTGTTGTTTGGCAACAAATAGGATTTGATTCAACTAAGATTAAATAAATCTTATAAATCTAGATTTAGTAAATCCTAGAGGAGTTAAATCCAGAATTAGGCATGGTATGATAGATGTTAAATATGGACAAGTCATAGTAAATTATTGATAAATGCTTATAAGGTGTGGGAATTAAATTTAGGAAAAGAAGAAGCATAATGAGGAGAATTGGTGTAAATATTTGAAATCCTACTTCCCTCCAATATTTACTAAATCCCAGATTTAGCCTAAAGTTGGATTAACATAGGATTCAAGTAGTCATAGCATTTATTTTGTTAAAAAATTGTTTAGGAAGATTTAGCATAAATCCTTGCTGAATATTTCCACCAAAGAAACTCTAATTCTTGGTTAAGTCCTAATTAAATTTGCATTCCAAAGATCCCCTTAATTTAGATTTGCTACATGGTATTTATGACCTTTGAATTGATAGATGGTAATTGATTACACAATGATTATATAAAGACCAACTATTGATTTTTGCAAGAATTAAATGCAAAAGGAAAATAATCTAAGGATATTAAGGAAGATTATAAATCATTTAATGTTGGAAAGATTAATAATGGAAATGTGATTCAATAATAGTGAATGGAAAGTGATCTAGGGTTCAATTCAAGAGGTTGATTGATGGGATCATTCATGATTTTGATTTGGACATTACATCATTTAGAGATGAGGTATCATGAGCATTAAAATTTTAATGATTAAATCCTTTGATGGAGATTGCTAGCATTGTTAATTTTTAGATCATACCATCAAGATTAATGATCTATTCATTAAGATTGCATAGGCCATATGGATTGCCGATCACATGCATGGCGATGGAGATTGAGAGGCAAAAAAATTGGACCATTGGATGGTGATCCACATGACAATATGATTTGGGTGAATTTTAAACATGTTTTGATAAATTGGTATTTTGAATTTAAATTTAAACATTCTTATTTTATGGATTAGTTTACGAAAGGATAAAATTTCTCTTGAATTTTGTAGTTATTTAGTATGGATAAATTTTTCAGCCAACCCCATTTAGTGGGATTAAAGCTTGTTGTTGTTATATTGAGTTAGTAAGAGGGATAACCTTGAATTTAATTAAATTCTTGTTATAATTTCTCATAAACATGCTTGATTCCTGTAATAGAAATCAATTTCAGTTCTCTTAAATCGTCTTTATTGCTCTCCTCTCATATCCTTGCAGTTGTTGGCCCACCCTAAGCTATCAAAGTCATTGGCTATATTTCAATTCTCTGTTAGTACAACTTTGTCGCCTTCCTTCAGAAACTAGGAAACTATTGTAGATCCTCTCCGCCATCTCCTGCAGATCTTCCAGCCATTGGCCACCCAATGTTTCCTTTTACAATTGCTAGAACCCGTTGGAATTATAGAAACAGCAAGAAACAATTTTGAATTGCAATTCCAACAGTCTGGAATCAGAGATCGACACAGTGATCTTGCTGTCTAGATGTACATTCTTAATTATGATGGGACAATCGATTTATATACATTGGATGTATGGATTGACCAATAAGAGACTTGTTTTACATTATTCAGGCATGACACTCATGATATGGTCGCCTTTTGACCTATTGAACTTAGCTACCCTGCTTTGGCATGGTGGATTGCTCAGCTGAAAGGGTATGGCCATCAGGAAATAACATAGGGACAATTTATATGATTGATTAAGGTAAGTTAAGAGCAAGTGTAGCAAAATTATATGATGGAATTTAGATGTTAAGTAGCTAGTTTGGGTGTAAATTTTGGGGATGTACAAATGTTGATGAACACTATGTCGTTACTCTTACTTTTAAATAAACTCTCCTTATTCACAACCATAGATCTTAGTTAGGCCAATATGATGTTGATGGATATATAATGAAAGAACCATTGTAGTAGGAAGAAGACACAAAGCTTGCTAGAGGGGTTCTCTTACAAAAATCAAAGAACAAAACTTGTCATCCATAGCAAGTAGAAGCCAAAATTAGATGGAAAAATTTTCTACAGCTAGAAAACAAAGCTTAAAATTTTACTAGAGTCTAGAAATAGACTATATATGTATAAGGACATTTGGTGGAATAAGGATGCAATTAAGAAAAATAAATGTTCTTTTGAAGAAGCAAATTACAAATGCTACGGAGGTTTATAATAATTATAAAAAAAGCTTTTGTTTTTGTAAAGAGAGCAGTAATTAAATTTATATAATAGGAAGGAGAAATTGAAATAGATAAAATGGCCAAGGAAATATAAGATATCTATAAACTTAAAATATACTTAGATAATAATATGATTTTAGTGAAAGATGAAGCTATGAATGAAGGATAAAAATGCAATAAAATTTTATTTAATGAGAGTTTTAAGAAAGAAAAAAAATTATTGGAAGACCATAATTAACAAATAATAATATAAAGTAATCCAAAATAGCTTTGAAGAAAATTTAGATAGGTAAAATATTAGATGCATATTTATTACTTGAATGAGATTTAGAGAATTATATGGAATGTTATAATAGCTCGGTTAACAATTCCTTTATATATAATTTTGCTGACTTAAAAGATGTTAAATGATTGGAGAAGAAATATTTTATTATCAATATTTAAGAACAAAAGAGTTATTCAAAATATGATAATTCTAAAAAAAAAAAATGAAACTTATGATTCATATAATGAAGTTATGATATAAAGTAATAAAACACGAACTGATAAATTATTTTTGTTATGAGGAATCAATTTAATGTCATGCTTGAAAGGTTTACAGAAGTGATTTTTCCGCTAAGATAATTATTTAACAAGCTTATAAAGCATAGAAATAATCTTCATATGATTTTTATTGATATCAAGAAAACATGATCATGTGCCAGATGAATTGAATTTGTATGCATCAATGAAAAAAAGTGCGCCTAAAGTATATGTTGTAAGTTATTAAAGATATTTATGGTAAAACATTGTTTTGTATTAAAAGTAATCATGGAGTGATTAATGAGTTCCTAATATTGCAGAATTAAATCAAGGATTAACATTGATTCTATATTTTTTTCATTAGATGTGGAGAAAAAGGTATGCCAAGTGATATGCTTTGGTTTATGCTTTTCATAGATGAATTTAATTGTCAAGACATCCCTTGAAATAATTTGAAAGTTATAATCATGAAAAATCTTGTAGACGATAGAGAGCTTATAATAGAATAATTGAGCATGTGATATGCACTTTTAGTAAATGTAATATTAACGCTTATCAATCAATATTATTTGAAGATAAAGTAATACCTAAGTGACAGGTTTAGGTATCTTAGATCTATGATATAAAAGGATGATGATATTCAGAAGAATATAATTTCCGGAGTTCAGGTTGAATGGTTAAATGGGAAAGTACCTTAGGAGTATATTTTATGATAAGGGAGTAATTATGTAGACTTAAAGATAATTTTTATAAAACTGTAAGTTTATAATTATATTCCTTATGTTGTATGCATCCAATTGTTGTGCAGCAAAAAAATAGCTAAGTTGAGTATTGTAGAAATGAACTAGATGGATGTGTGCCAACATTATGAAGAATAAATTGAAGAATGATGTAGTAGAGGGATGTACCCATATATGGAGAAATTATTTTGTGCGGAGACCGGACGGTGAGAACCGTCCGGATTTGCTGCATTTTTACTGACATTTTGCTGCGCTTTTTTAAATTCTTAGCAAAAGCACAACAAATATTCAATTATGAATGTACCATAATAGAGTATTTGCTGTGCTTTTGGAAAAACTCAGCAAAAGCGCAACAAAAGGACAACAAATATCTCTTCGATCAAATATTTGTTGCGCTTTTGTTGAGTTTTTGCAAAAGCGCAACAAATACTCAGGAAAAGCGCAACAAATAATTTAGCAATTTGTTTTAAATTGGATAAATTTTTAGTAGCAATGAAAGGCATTGCACACTGTATTTCTTATTTTGTTTGAACAATGTTCATACCATTATCAAAGGTGATTTGTTTGATCTCTTACTTGTTCATATCTTTTATAAATCAACATTGGTATCCTAAATCTTTTTTTTTTTTTCTGAATATTTCACCATCCAGAATCAAACTTGTGGGGTATGCGGCTTTTGCACTCAATAGGATGGTTATTCATATATTCTGATTTTTTTTTTATTTGGCAAATTCCATACATGAAAACTATCTCTGGTGTTCAGGCATCGGTACGCGTACTATATGTACATGGTGTATTTTGATAGGCCAAGTATTGTGTCTTTAATTTTCGTGCTTTAATTGTTATTTATGAGACAAGAAATCTCACCTTTGATGCTTCTTTTAATGTCATAACTGTAATTTTCTGAAGCGGTGTTTGAATGGACGCATTGGAGACTGGTGCTTGTTCTGATCCTTGAAGCTTACGATAAATAATATTCTGTTTGCAGGGTTGCTTTCAATAGATGTTCCAGAGATACCTAATTTATCTTCAGGAATACTTTGTCAGGGGTGAGCAATTTTGGGTGATAGAAGTGCTAGTCTTATATTCCTAATTGGCAACATTTGATGCCTACCCATGAGTTATCCTTTGGTATTTTATGATTTGTCTAATCAGGTGGAATCTTGAGACTAAATATTACTCTGCGGAACTCTCCATATGGACAGCTAATATTGATAATGGGATCTCTTTACAAAGGCTGCTAGCTTCGAACCAATTAGCAGCATTGGTGATGGTTTTTGACATGAGTGATGTTAGAATCTTTCTTTTTGTTTCTTTCTTGGATTATCATCATTTTAAAACTTATAATTTCTTTGTTTGCAATCTGATTATAAGCTATTTGACAGGTTAAGGGGGTCAAACACTAATAACTTCATTAATTTGCAGGAATCTTCTTTTATTACTCTTAAGGATTGGGTTACTGGAATTGATATTGGGAGTTTTGAAATTCTTTTATGCATTGGAAATAAGGCAGACCTTGTGCCTGGTCATTATGCCCATGCAGAATACAGAAGGCGGTTACAGAAGCAAGGCGAGTTGAGCGAAGATCCTCATCCTGAATTTTGGGATTATGGCATTATTGAAACTGAGAGTTACAGCCTATTGGGGAATGAAGATCCATCTGCAGAAATAAAAAAATCATGCATGGAGTGGTGTATTGAGCGCAATATAGAGTATATTGAGGCTTGTGCGTCCAATGTGGACTTTGACAAATGTAAGTTTTTCTCCAAGCTATGCTAAAGGTATTTAACCTAGGAGTTTCCATTAACTGTATGAAGATAAATGCAGCCAACCTTTTTAATCATTTGCTTGGCTGACATATGTGATCAAGGGAGCGAGGAATAATCTTGTCTTTTCTCCTCTTTCATTGTTTTGTTTTGTTTTTGTATGGCTGGAACCTTAATATAGCCAAATTCCATCCAAGGATACCCATATCTTATCATTGTGTCATATACTAACAATCTATATCAATATTTAATTCAGTCGCGAACCATTATGATTTGTTTGACATATTGGATATAGATTAGTTAATGTTTCCTTTTTAAGAAACTCTTTTGATAAGTTGTTGATCTACACATAACCTGCTAAAATCCTAGTCAAAATCCCAAAAAATCTGCTTAAAAACCTGCACAAATCTCGCTTACCTGCTGTTAGGCGCAGTTCGCATCGCTTCTCGCGAATCCAGCGAGCTCGCCTTGGTTACGCTGCCATTCTCGCTATTATAGCCCGAGCAACTCTTCTCTCATTCGATTCTTCTTCTTCCACGCGCACACGAGCATCCTTCATGCATTAGAGGCCGCCATACCCTGCCCTATCTCTTGCCGATCCAACTACAGAATTGCGAACTTCACGAGCCATTCGACCCATAGCAATCCTATCTTCAGCCTCCCTGCATGTGGACCTAGCCATTGCTTATAGAACACAACCCATCTTCCACCCCCCAACTCTAGTGTCGAATCCTCCACACCCAACCTAGAAGGAACTTGCAGATCCTTCCTCAATGCCTCTTCCTCCACTCGATTCGACCGAGCCTTCCATTGCCCTCCTTTAATGTGTCGATCTTGATCGACCTAGCCGACCCCATCACTTCTGCAAACCAATTCCCGATCCCACTTCTTCCTCACGCCAAAGCCAGCCTTCCACCTGCATAATCCACCGAACATCTCACGCACACTCCGAACAAGATCCGACTCTTACCCTTGCCAGATTCGGCCTCCATCTACCTAATTGGATCTCTCACAGCCTCCACTCCCTAAGCCTTCCATCCCCTTATCGCATCAAAACAACAGCTTTTCTATAGTCCAAATCAACAATAGCTCCAACCCATTCAAAACAACAAACCCAATCTACTAACTCAGCCCAAACCTGTCCCTCTATCACTAGATGCTATTAATATTATTATTATTATTATTATTATTATTCAAAAAAGAAAAAGAAAGAAGAGAGAAAAATAAAAAAGAGAGGGATTTGTGTGTAATTTCATCTTCGCTGCCTCGAAACCGACATTGTCACCATCACTGTTTCATCCGTCGCTAAGGTATGATGATCACCAAACTCAAAATATCAAGTCCCATTCTCGATGCTCGTGGCTCACTGGAAAATCACCTATACACATTTTTCTCTAGTGGTGAGAGGGAATCCGGTGCAAAGTTCGCTACAAGGTGGGTAGGCCATGTACATGCTTTTTCTAGCGTGACAGTGATAACCATAAGTACTCGTGTATGTGCCATTATGCATGTGGGAAAAGAACTGTCAAATAAATATACGATTGCGGCATCGATCGAGATATTTGTTTTGTACGTTCATATTAGGTCTTCGAGGTCTATTGTCCCTTGGATAAAGCAACTCATGACTGTCGACAAGGATCCTTTTGTCAGATTGGGTTGACTACCTCCTCTGACTAAGTAGACTAGGGATCATGATGACCCGGGACTACGTAACAATGAGATATTTATCGGGTCTATCATCATTACCCCCACCATCCGCTTTAAGAGCAAATTGGTGAATTTTTGGTTTTAAATATTAAATTTTAAATACCTAAACATGCTGTTGCTATACGTCGGACACTACATATTTGTTTGACGACTAGCCTTAATCGGAAGTTCTCACTCATGATCGGGAGGGGTAATTAACTATAGGGGCTTGCGCCTATAGGAAACTTGAAAACATATTATAAAGTCCTCTCAAAATGAGCATGAAATCTCTTGGTAGTGTCTTACTTCAAAACCCAATATGCTTTTTGATAATTTGCCTCGGAACTTGAGCGTTAAACTCTCCTCAACAACCAAAAAAAAAGAAAGGGGCAGCGGTGAGACTAGGGCACGAATTTTCGGAGCCCACATAAGTCAATTATTGAAGATATATAGCAATTATTCATTTGTAAAATGCTTTGCAATGGCATGGCATCAGGGTCTAATAGGAAGGATGTGCCCGCCCCCCCCCCCCACCCCCCACTTATGCAATTTTGTCATTTATTTCAACCTGGACTGTTGATAATTCTACCACAATTGTTAATGTTTCGAAGTTTTAACTTGTTGAAAGCATGGTTACAATACCTATGAGAGCTTCTTTGTGTATCTTAATGCTACTTAACTATGCTTTTTATATGTTCCTTCTTGCTGACAGGTTTATCAGTTGATGGTGATGTTCAAGGTGTAGAGCGTCTTTATGGAGCTCTTGCGGCCCATATGTGGCCTGGAATGATCTTGAAGTCTGGGAATATGATCAACTTTCCTCAACTTGTTGAGAAGGAAGGTAAAATGGAAGAACTTATTACAGTCCTTAGAGACTAGCTTTACAGTACTAACCATTCAAAGGCTGGTTCAACTAACCATTCATTTTTACAGTTCAGATACATAGTAGATGCTCTCTTTCAGTAACATATTCCCTCTGGAAACTTTGCCTAGCTATGATAAATTTGATAAACTATATGCAAGATTAAGTGCCATTTCTATTATTGCATTCTCCATTCTTTCCCATTTCAATGCACACAATGTTTTAACTCCGTTTTGTTTAAGTATATTCCTTCAAACGTCTACATAGGTTGCGAAAAGTGATTTTCATTATTTTGAATTAAAAAAAAAAAAAAGATAAGAGCCCTCACCTAACAAAGGCACCACCTTTTTAACACTATATACAACTATACCTTGATTTCATTTTTTACATTATTTTCACCCAAAGGAAACTACACGTATTTAATATTTAATAATATATCTTAATGAGCTTTTAATTAGCCATACGCAAACAGACAAAATCATTTTTGTGTTTTGATTATTAAATTAAGCCTAAATATTGTCTCATATTTGACTCGGTTAATGAACGAGCCAAAAATGTGCTGCGTAATCATTGAAAGACTAGTTTTTCTTAAACATTGAGTTAGATGGACACTGATAGTGATCTAATTGTTGTTGTATTGAAATTTATGTAGGTCTCAATCATATTCTCTAATCACTTAGTATTTTAGAGACAATAATCTATCTTAACTAACTTAACTTTAATCATATCATCACCCATATCCTATTTTTCCATATAATTGGTGTATTGTACTTCAAAATTTTCACATTTAAGTATCATTTGATCTTATATGCCTATAAAAATAAATCATCTCAGCTTTATTGTCGAACATCTTCCCCTTGCATTTATTATTTCAAGATTTGGTTAAATTGTTGAGAAAATAATAATCTCAAATTGATTTTTGCTTCTACAACTTTAACATAAATTGCATTACCATAAGTTTAGAACTATAGCAAGGCAGTACTCGTTCTCAAGTTTTCTCATTTTTGTCTACTCTACATGAAAAATTCCTCAGCTCTCTATTCCATCTTTCTAGAGCTATTATTCTGGAGCCATTATTCTGTGCAGACACCGGACGGTTCTCCCGTCCGGTTACTGAGCGGTACCGAGCGCGATACATTTTTTGAGTGACGTGGCACATCTTTATTGATCTCTAGACACCCTCCATACTCCGTACAGAATAATAAATCATCTTTCTGAGCACTACATGTGCTAAACTTATTTTGCACAAATTTCATCCATGTTATCATTTAATCAAACTTGTACCCTGAATCTTCTTTCGCTGACTTTCGGCCATTGTGTTTCGGATTTTGATCAACTTGGTACAAACTAGTTTAAGGTTTGCAATTTCACATAGAGAGCTGGTAACTTTATGATGATTCCTGCTGACACAATTAGATACAAAATGCTCTGAGGACCTTGGCCAATTATCAACAAACAAGCGAATTCTCTGGTTTTTATCAAGGACACTGCTATTTATACTAACCGTTGCTTATTTCTTCATAGATTTCACAGATGAGGACACAGATTACGAGATTGAATATGAAGTTTTATCTGGAGGTGCTGATGAACCTTGGGATACCACAGAAGATCCAGGAGCTTCATCCAGTATGCCTAAAGCAGGCAACAAGGATTCAGGAGCAGGTGATGAAGGCAACATTGTAAACAATGGTGATCTAATCCACAGTAATGACAATATTGATCGAGCCGCAGTTAGGGCCGAAGCCTATTCAGCTTCTGGCAACCTTCACAATCCACCCAATACTGATTTTGCATCTGAAGCAGCTACTGTAAAAGAATCTGACACTGTTAAAGTCCTGTCTGAGGATCAAAAACTTGAGCCATCAACTTCGGATGTTCAGGGACAAGGGTTTGCTGATGCAGTTGAGCTAGATGAAGATTTACAGTTCAGTTATGATGATCTAGAAAGGTTAATGGCTGAGATCGGCAATATGCGAGGGAACCTGAGGCTGATTCCAGATTTCCAAAGACGCGAAATGGCGGCGAAGCTAGCCTTGAAAATGGCAGCCATGTTTGGAGAAAGCAGCGATGAAGATGGCCTCTGAAACTTGGTGGCAGTTCTGAGCTCAGGATGGAGAGTCATTGCCATGGCAACTGAGGAATTTGAGACTAGCGATTTGTATTTTTCCTTTTTTTCACTACTTTTTTAGTACTAGGAATTGATTTTTTCCTTTGATTTAGGAGAGTCAAGCCACAGTTTGAGCAGCAGTAATGGCATTGTTAAGCTATGTATGATGTAATCTCATCGTTTGATGATTCAGTTCTACATTTGATTGATGGTAGGGTGTCAATTTGGGTCAACGGATCGGGTTTGGATCCAACCTGACTCGAGCATAAACGGGTTGACCCGAGCCCGATCCGATTTTATAAATGGGTTAAGTTTTTCAACCCGGCAGGCAGCGACAGGTAGTGACAGTAGCATTGGCGTTATGCTTACAACAAACAGCGGCAATGTCACCAACGTCGTTACGCAGCTTACGCTTGGACAAGGGCTGAGGTGAGCATATCAAGCTCGGTTTGCCGGGTTGACATGAATCTGACCCGAATTATAAACGGGTTCAAAAATAGGACTCGAATCCAACATGTTATTTTATCGGGTCGATCAAACTCAATTTTTTGGGATCGCATTCGGGCCAGGCTTTCGGGTCATGCCAAATATTGACATCCCTAATTGATGGGAAGCATGCAGCAATGCATTTAGCTTCAAAATACATGCTTGAAGAAAATATTGCAATATCATTTTACTATGATTTAACATGCCTTGTAGCATACATAATTGGAGAAATATATTTGATATTCTTTTTTGAAGAAATATACTTAAAAATTTGTTTAAGATGAAATTATCAATGCTTTAAAAATCGGACCAGACCGGCCGGTCCGACCGGTTCAACCGTGAACCGGTCCAAAGGCCAGTTCGGTTCAACCTGAAAATCGGCTTAGCTTCGAACCGGTCGGTTTTGTCCGAAACCGTCGGTTCAACCGGTGAATCGGTCGTTTTTTTATGTACCATAAATATTAATTAATTAATTTATTATTTATAATAAATGATTTAATTTAACCTCAATAATTTATAAATGTAAAATAATAATATGAATCTAATATATAAATTTTAAATATAAATTATATATAAATATATAACATAAATTAAGGATTATTTATATTAAACTTATTAATTCATTTGTAAGTTATTTTTTTGTTAAATTTAAATTAAATTTAAAGATTGAATATGCTTAAATTTAAAATTATATAAGATATTAATAAGATATTAGTAATATGTAAGTTAATCTTATATTATTTGTATATCATCTAAATTGTATTTATTACATCATCCGGTTCAACACCGGTTCGTTATAATGAAAAACTTTTAGTGATGAATACAAGTTAATTTAGATGATATAATGAAAAACTTTTACGTCCCATGTATGCTTGAACTGTTAAACCTATAATGAAAAACTTTTAGTAATATGTAAGTTAATTTCGTTATAATGAAAAACTTTTACGTCCCCCAGGGAAGAACCTCATTTGTAATAGACTGCAAACATTAGTGAATTCATTCAAACTGGGCTAGACTCAATGGTTTCTCTCCTTTTTTAGGGTTTTCACGTAAAAACTTTGGTGTCTCTTATGAATGTTGCATCCTCTTTTTTATTTGATTGTGTGCTGAAGAATAAAGATGTTAAAACTTTATATTCCTCTATCACTACAAATATTTCATGACGAAACAATAGTCTATTATTAGATATACTTCAGCTTCAAACTTTGTTTGGTACAGATTTTCGGCTGCTTTCGTGATAAGAAAAGTAGTTAGTTAAAAAATAATGTGGGTTTTTCGAAACTTTTTCATTGTTTGTCGAAATTTTTGTAGTAAAAAAGTTATTTTTGAAATGTTCTTTTTAAAATTATGATTAATAAAGAAGTTTTAGAAACCAAAAATAGAAAAAATTTAAGCTACCCCAAACTAATCCTTACTAAAAATGATTTAGATTTTCAAAGTAAGGCTTCGTTTGGAATGATTTTTTTATTGCTTTTTAAAGTAGCTTTCTAGTACAAAAAATTTAATTTTTGTACTAAAAAGCTACTTTAAGAAGCAGCAAAAAAACTATCCAAAACGAAGCCTAAATCTAATAGAAACAATAACCAACAACAAATGACATAAAATAATGCAAACACCTTAAAGTTAACACAAATCTTTTTTGAAATTGTATATAGACTGAATGAGAGTGATGCTGAAATTTCTGATAACTAAACCTCACCTAATTGATTAATTAATTTCTGATAATTAGACCTCACCTTATTAATTATTCTAAAGAGAGAATTAGTAGTTGAAATACATGTCATCAGAGAGATCAAATGTAAGCAAATCTATTACAAATCTGCTTCCAATCAGTTTATCTATTTGCTTTACAGCACATGAGATCACCTCCCAACAACATGGAAGCAAATAAGTGGTGGAATCTTTAGAAAAAGATTAACAACATGTGAGAGCATATAAAGATAAAGCTGAATTTTATTTTTTTGCTTATAAAATAATAGAGAAAAAGTCTAAGATAACCTCCAACTATTTGTGTGTCATCAATTTAATCTTAGAGTATTATATTTTTTCATTTTAGTCACTCGACTATATATAGAAATTGACAAAAATTAGGATGCAAAATTGAATTATATAAGATTAATTCCTGAGGGATCATTTGGATCAATTTTGTATAGTCGAGGGATTAAATAAAAAAATGGCATATTTTAGGATTAATTTGATTATATCGATTATTTTGAGTTTTTTCTCTAAAATAATATATATAAACAGAGCATTTAGTGATTTCAGCTTCAGCAACAAAAAGGATTTTCAACTTTAATTGATCACCACATGTTTCTGATTTTGTTCTTATATATGTGACATAACTTTTTTATCCTAAGTCTTGTCTTGTAGCTTTATACTGACCTCGAGCTTAGCTGGGTTGGTGAGAGTGCGTGGTTGGGAACCCCCCAACTCACATTCGATTCATCTCTCAAGCGGTGTGACTTCTTATGTGAGGAGAAAATAAGTGCGTGGCGTGGCCCGGCACCTGTGGCCTGGTTGCTGCTAGGCCCGTTGAGGGATTAGTTACTCCGCCAAACACCTACTCTACCAGTGATGGCGTCATTGACCTCGGTTCTTCTTTCATGGAGGTGACTCTTAAGAAAATTCATTTGTTTTTCTGTAGTCAAACAACCAAATTTAGAGAAAAGATGGAACTAGCTAGCCTTAAGTCTATTTCTTCTCTCAAAATAATTAGCAAAGTTAAGATGTTCTGAAAACCTCTTTATTTGATGTGCTAATGCTGATGGTTCCATTTGAGCACATCATAATTCTAAAGTTTCAGCCTTTTGGAAGGATATCAGGAAGGTGGTTCTTCCACTTAAAATTGATTTTAACTTTTGTATTGGAGATGGCTCTGCCTTCTCTTTATATTTTGATCCCAAATGGAATGGAAAGTATTTGTTATAATGAAAAACTTTTCAATGGCAATCATTCTTCCATTACTACATTGATGGTTAAGGTTAAATCCATTGTTGCCTATAAGCTGCCCAAATGAAACTTCAAACCTTTTGGCCAATAGATGGTGAACTACTATTTGAGCAATGGATGATGAGTTTCTGCAATGATAGGATTGCTACTTAATAATCATCCCACTAATGTTTTGGAAGACTTAGGTTTCGTTTGGGATGACTTTCTTACTGCTTCTTAAAGCAGTTTTTTAAAAGCCGTCCGATATGAAGCCTTATTGGTTGGGTGCCAGATGTTTGGGCACCTTTGACACATTTTGGCAGCATATTGGAAGAATTGCAAGCAACATTGGTTTTTGGTTGCCTCACTTCAGATTTTTTAGGCCATTGTTGGCCTCTGAGCTATGATGCAAAATCAAAATCCAATCAGGTTTGTTGATTATGTGCAACCCAGCAACAAAGGTTGCCTTCTTCAAGATAAATCATTCATATCATGTCTGTTGCTGCATGATGGCAAATGTTCTACCCCCTTTGGATGCCTTAATCTGAGCCTACCTCATTCTTTTGGTGGAACTTTGTAGAAATTTTATTGGATATTCTTTTTATTGTATTCTCATATTCTGTAGAGCCTTGCTTCTTTTGTTAGTTGGTTCTTATTTATCTCGCACTTGTGATCTATTTTACTCAACAAAATTGAGCAAAGCCCTCATGATTTGCAAAACAACAAAAAGGAGGATTTGACAAAATCAAAGAAGCCATTGCAGTTATCTTATTTATTGTTCTTGCTGCTTCTTCAATCCTGAGGTTTGTCTGCAAGCCGTTCTAACGAATGGGAATGTATTATTAATTTAATTCCAATGAAAAACAAAAGTATTTGGATGGCCGGGGAAATTCAAATCACTGAAAGTGCAGCTCTTTAAGTTAATGGCCTCACTATCTACACTCCTTTCTTTATCTTTAGATTTACAGCCTTTGCTTTTATAATTCAAAAAAAAAGAAAAAAAGAAGAAGATGAATTTGAACGTGCCAAAAACGAACACTTTCTTCACGAATAATTTCAAATACGAGCAGATCACAAACATAAAGCTAAACTCGCCCAAACTCAGCTCATTTATAGTCCTAATACGAGTTCAATAGAGGTTTGATTATTTTGCATGACTTGACTTTATGGAACTCAATTTGTTTCTTTAGATTAGTTGTAATAAGCTTCATTTTATTCACTCTCTTTTAATCATATATCTCTATCATTATTTTATATAAAATTAAACCATAGTTCATCTTATTAATTCATAGTATTTTAAAAAAGTGAGCTGAAGCCAAACAGTTTTCTGAATGATTTAAAGCTTCCAAGCACATGTAATACAGTCAACAAACCAACAACAACTGATATAAACTTATTCAGAAATTCTTAAACGTATAATGCTGTAATTTCTGATAAACAAACCTCATCTAAATTCTAATTGATAACTCAAAAGGAGAATTATTAGTTGAAGTACATGTCATCAAAAAGATGAACTGAAAACAAATCTGCTGCAGATCTGCTACTAAGCTGTTTATCTGTTTCCTTTACAGCACATCAGATAACCTCCCAACAAATGGAAGCAAATAAGTTAAGAAATCTTCAGAATAAGACAGACAACATATGACAGCATATAAAGTTGGGTATTCAGCTTAATTACAACTGAATTTTACTTTTGTTGGCATATAATAAGTATTTTGAAAGAACATTTAGTGATTTCTTACTTCAGAAATAGTAAGGTACATCAGCTTCACTTGATCATCACATGTTCATCATGGGAGTACTGTTGATTTGCGACTGGAACGACACGACAAATTAACAAGAGTGATAGAAAGGATTAGGTGAACCTAAGATCACTACAGAAAAACTGTCATTACCGTCGGATTTTTCGGCGGACATACATGTGCTGGAAAAAAGCGGCGGAGTAACTGTCGGAATATACGCCGGTAACTTTATGGTGGAATTACCGACGTAAATTCTGCTGTGACGGTACTGTCATATATTTCACAGGTTTTTTCGCCGGTAAATTTTATATTACGGCGCAATTTCCGCCAGAAATTACCGGCAGAATCATGGGCGTAAATTACGCTGGCTTACTTAAACTTGAGGGAAAAATTTTGTCAGTTTATATTTTTCAACACGTGAATAACCGTCGAATGGATTTTCGCAGAAAATTCGGCAGAAAATATAAATTTCCGACGGATTTCCATTGTTACTGGCGGATTTTGTCTGCCAGTAACAAGCCAT